AGGGGGGCATCCGATTCATGCACGCGTGCTGCAAGCGCCTTCTGATTTCAGGCGCCTCAATATCAATTCAGAAGGTTCAGAAGGGAAGGGGTCACGTTCTCCTTCCACCGCCCGCCCTCCCATCCACACCCCACCCACCCAAACTCATGTCCCCTTCTCCTTTCTCCATCCACATGTGTGTGTGCTATGTCTTTCAGCCGTGGCAGTGAGCATGGCACAGCAGCAGTACCTGGTGTATGGCATGGACTAGGGGGGCCATGGGTGCTCCCTCTCATGACCTGCATGCATACATCCTCCCTTCCCACTCCTTCTTGCCACTTCCCATTTTGTCGTCCACCAGCCGTGGCAGTGAGCATGGCACAGCAGCAGTACCTGGTGTATGGCATGGACTACGAGTGCATGGTTGCTCACACAACCCCCTCCCCCTTTCCTCCCCGCCCCTTTCCCCCTCCGCTTTCTCCCTCCTCCCCATTGTCCACCAGCCGTGGCAGTGAGCATGGCACAGCAGCAGTACCTGGTGTATGGCATGGACTATGAGGGCCATGGGTGCTCCCAGGGCCTACATGCATACATCCCCCGCTTCGATACCATCATAGATGATGTGGTTGAGTTCACCGACGCGCTAAGAGGTGGGTGCAAATGGGTGGAGGTGGGTGCAAATGGGTGGAGGTGGGTGCAAATGGGTGGAGGTGGGTGCAAATGGGTGGAGGTGGGTACAGTGCAGTTGGGTAGGTGCTCTCGGGGTATGTATGCATATCATACATCCCCTGCTTCGACACCAGTATTGACGATGTGGTTGAATTCACCGACGCGCTAAGAGGTCGGTGAAGATGGGTGCGGGTGGGTGCAGGCGGGTGTAACTGGGTGCAGGTGGGTGCATGTACGGAGAGTCGATGGATTGTGCTAGCCAAGACGCGAACGCTCTCCTTTGACCTCCCTTTGCCATTTCTTGTGGCTCACGTGCCCTTTCATTAAGGGCCAGTGCTGTGGCCATCAAGGCGCACTGCACTGGCTTTCTACGAGGTGACTTTTGAGTCGATTCAAAAGTCTTCTCGCGGCTCACGTGCCCTTTCATTAAGGGGCACTGCCATCAAGGCGCACTGCACTGGCTTTCTACCCTAAACCCTGTCAAACCCTAATCCCTCCCCCCCCCCAACACCCTGCACAGATTTACCGGCTCTCTCATCTCTCCCAATCTTGTGTCTGGTTTCCTTTCCTCGCAGCATCACCTGCCCTCTCGTCTCTTCCAGTCTTTCTGTACGGCGAGTCAATGGGCGGCGCGGTGGCCATCAAGACGCACTGGCGCCGCACAGACGCCTTCCGAGGAGCCGTCTTATTGTCGCCCATGTGCAAGGTAAACATTGTAACCATGTGGTAACCACGTGGTAACCATGTCGTAGCCATGGGGTAACTGCGTGATAGCCATGTGGTATCCACATGGCCGTCTTCCTACTGCCCTTGTGCAAGGTAGTGATGAGGTAGTGATGTTGTAACCATCAGGTATGTGTGTAATGGCGTTGTTGCCTGTGTGTATTCTTGGCTCGCAGACATGTGATTCCCAAGCTATCACCACACCCACCATTCTCCACACCCACCCTCCTCTCTCAATACACCCCCCCCCCCGCCACCTCACACACACACACACACACAATGATCCCAAATAGCAGAGGAGCTGATTCCTCCCCCAATGGTGGTATCAGCATTCTTGGCTCTCAACAGCGTCATTCCCAAGGTCAAGATGGTGAATAATCACTCCCAAATACTCACCACATACCACACCCACCCGCCACTCCCCACCCCCCACTGGTCACCAGATAGCAGAGGAGTTGATGCCGCCCCCAATGGTGGTGTCGGCATTCCTGGCTCTCAACAGCGTCATTCCCAAGGTCAAGATGGTTCCAGGAAAGGACATCAGCGACATTGGCATGAGAGACCTTGCCAACCGGAAGCGGGTGAGTTAGGAGGAAGAGAAAGGGGGTAGGTGTATGCACGGTGTTGGCTCTGAGCAACGTCATTTCCAAGGTCAAGATGGTTCCAGGGAAGGACATCAGCGACATCGGGATGAGAGACCTTGCCAACCGCACGAGAGTTCAAATGGTGAGTCTTAATTTTGAACGGTGCTGGCTCACTTCAATGGTAATCCCGAGGTCAAGATGGTGCAGGGCAAGGATACCAGCGACATTGGCATGAGAGACCTTGTTGACCAAGAGGAGGGTGGTTGCGCACCTTCATATGGTGAGCTTGAATTGAAGCTATCGACATCCCAAGGTGAAGTATGCACCGTTGGCTATCTCCTCTTCAGCTCCCCTCCTCCTCTCTCCTCCTCTCCCCTCGCTCCCCCTACCTCCACCAGGCGAAGGATAACCCAATGTCCATCAGGGGCCCTGCCCGAGTGGGCACAGCAGTTTCACTGCTCCTCTGCTCCTGCTATTCACCTAACCCCCACCCAACCTCTTCCCTTGCTCCTCGCCTTCTCTTGCTGCGTCACCCACCAGGCGAAGGATAACCCAATGTCCATCAGGGGCCCTGCCCGAGTGGGCACAGCAGTTTCACTGCTGCGGACCACACAGGAGATCGGCCCACGGATGAAGGAGGTGAGGTGTGAGGTGTGATGATGGAACACGCAGCTCACTGAGATATGTCTGAACATCGCCGGATGAAGGAGGTGAGGGTGAATGTGAGGATGGAGGGGGTAAGGTGTGAGGATGGAGGGGGTTGGGTGTGAGGATGAATCTCCAGCTCCTGGAATCACAAGCGGATTAGAGTCGCAAGTGTTCATTTGGTGGCTAATCATTGGATGGTGTATTCCAATCGACTGAATGGGATCATTGAAGCTTCCAGAAGCTTAGTCGCAGGCTGTTGCCATATTGGCGTGCTTCATTGCTGCATGCAGCAATGGCACGGCAGCAAAGCAACGGCACCACAGCAGGCTCAGCATTCCTTCCCCCAGCACGCTCATGCCAAATCTTTCACCCATATCCGTCGTCCATACCACCCACCCCCTCGCTCTCTCCCCTCCCTGCAGCTCTCCCTCCCATGCTTCATACTGCACGGCAGTGCTGACGTGGTAACCGACCCAGCTCTCTCCAAGGAGCTGCACGCAGCGGCCAGCAGCACCGACAAGACGCTGAAGATTTACGAGGGCTCCTGGCACGGACTCACTTCTGGGGAGCCTGACGATGTGATCGAAAAGGTGATTGCGGATATTGTTGCGTGGATTGCTGCGCGCAGCAGCGCTGCTACGGTGGATTTGAATGCGGTGAATGAGAAGCTACTGGAGCCGCCTTTTAAGGGGGATACTGTAAAGGAGGTGGAAGTGTAGCGTTGTCATGGGCTTAGCTCTCAGGAGCCCGGCAATGTGATTCAGATGGTTATGGGTATTGAGTTTGCGTTGCTACAGTTAGCAATGCTGCTACGGATGCAAAAAGCACATTGGGTGTTGTAAGTTATGCGAGCTTTATGAGTGAACTGAAGAGAGGAGGCTGCATTGTTGGGTTCTACATGGGATCTACTGGGAATAAAAAAGTGTATCAGCTACGCAAGGGTAGCTGCATTGTATCAACTTCCCTTCGAAAATGGTGATGTTGATATGAGAAAGTGAGATGGATATAGATGTTAAGAATGAAGTTATCCTTGCAGCGATTACTAAGTCTTGTTGCGGGAAATGCTTTCGAGAGCATTCCCGCGTAGTGACGTGGCCCATCTTGGTGTGACCATCTTCAAGTTTCCCTTCCACGTGGATCACATGAAGGTGACTGCCAGCACAGCAGAACAGCAATTTCGATAACTGTCAGCGAGTCAAGTCGCTTGCTTCGCTGGACGTCGTTTCTGCAAGCCAGCGCACCAAATGCGGCTGCCACGCGCGACGCGCCAAGCAGTTGCCGCATCTCCTAGTGGTGGAAATTGGAGGTGAAGGTCTTTCCAGCGATCGCAGATGATGATGTGTTACGTTTCGCTGCAGACAATCACGATCATCGTTTGGCTTGCATGCGACGAGAAGTGGACGCTGAAGGAACTCGCAATCGACACGGCGAAATTTCGTAATTTCTTTTCGAGCCTTCGTGGGCACGACGACGTCACCGCGAGGTTCGATTTCACCGGCGCGGCGCGGCATGTCACGAATTCTGATTTCTGTACTTGTTTCCTCTGTTCACTCTTCCTACCTCCTCCATTCTCGTTTCATCGTCGTGGATTTCTCGACCACTTAGTTCAATACCATACACACTGCAAATCCACTGTTATGGTGCGACGAACTTTTGAAGTTGAGCGGGAAGCGGGCAACTATCAATGGAAAGACGCTTCGAAAAGATGGAAAAAGGGAGGCGACGTTATTGCTCCAGACTATTCCGACTCGCGTGAAATCTCCTTTCCGCAGAAAGCCCATAAGTCCATTCCTAGAGTTACTACTCGTGGCCCTACCGCGCCGACGAAATCTGTCGGTGCGCCTCCGTACCACACGCAGCATGCGCAAGTTCTCGAGACTGCAGAAGCTTTTGCCATAATCGACCGGAGCGAGCAGCAAAAGTGCACGTTTCGTTCAGAAGAGCAGCAGATCACGAGAATCGATGGGCAGATTACGTTGCCAACGAGTAGGGAGCGAGAAAGCGCCCAGCTACATGAACGGGAAGGCGAAATTAATACTTGCCGTGAAAGCGAAATTCTTGAGTGCACCAACCGCGATTCCGTTGGGCCGAAGAGGAACGGTGTGAAAAGACCGGCGGAAATCGTGGTGCTGGTGCGTGAAACTTCAGCGAACAATCCCCTTGCTCAAGCTGCCGAAAGCCCTGACGGTTCTGCAGACGACGAACTCGCTCGTCGCGCTGAAGGTCCGCTGAGAGGCAGTGCGGACATTGATGTCGTGTCGGCAGCCGCACGCGCGCCGTCGGTGAGCATCTGTGGTCCGCTTGTTTCTCTGGGGGGTTACACGGACGATGTTTTGAAGGCGGATGGTAGCGACAGAAGTTGTCGCAGTGCGACGGGTGACGGTGCTCGCGAGGCAGATGGCGATGGGAGAGCAAGTCGCAGACCGGGGGGAGATGATTGTGACTCCGCGGAGCGGGGGGGGGTGCAAGGCGGAACGGCAGACGGCGGGGGAGCAGCGGAAGGTGAAGCAGCGGAGGGAAGAGCAAGTGGAGCAGCGGAGGGGGAGCTGGCAGCGGCGGATGTCGGGGAAGCGCAAGGCGCAGAAGAGGGCGGGAGGTCTTGGTGGGGAAGGGTGACCGGGGGAAGACTGGGGAAGCGACGGGTTTCCACGGAAGTGTCGCCGCCACGTGGCAGCAGCTCACTGGAGGCTGTTTTCAACGGAGTCAACGTGCTGACGGGTGAGACACGAGGGGGGAAGGTCCGACCGGCGAGCGCACTTCTCAAGTGGCGGCGGGTGTGTGTGTGTGTGTGTGTGTGCGAGGGCATGCGTGGTATTGCTTAGCCCTGACGGCATGCCAAGCCCGAGGGCATGCGTGAGAGCGAAACCGTCACCCTTCCTTCCTCATCCATTCTTCTCTCTCTTCACTTGCCCTTCCCCCTCTCCTCCCCTTGCACCAGGCATCGGAATTCTCACCACGCCCTACGCGCTCGCCCAAGCGGGCTGGTTAGGCTTGCTCCTTCTGCCCGCCACGTCCCTCCTCTACCTCCTCACCGCCCGCCTCCTCCGTGCCTGCATGGACCACACACCATCCACCGATCCCCACTCCCCTGATACAAGTATCCACACCTCGACTGCAAGCAGCCACGCCTCCACCACCGCACCCTACACCTCCGCAACTTCTCCCCACACCTCCGCCACTGCACTCCACGCCTCCACGATCACCACCTACCCCGACATAGGCGCGGCAGCGTTCGGCCGCACAGGGCGCATGCTCACATCTCTGGTGCTCTACGGGGAGCTCTTCGCCGTGTCGGTCGAGCTGCTCATTCTCGAAGGGGATAGCCTCGCCTTCCTCTTCCCCTCCTTCGCCCCGCACGGCGTCTCCCTGGGGACCTCCCTCCGTCTGTCCGCCAACCAGGTGTGTATTGCGGCGCCCCAAACATACACTCTCAACAGGCATCATCACATCCTTGGTGCTCTACGGGGAGCTCTTCGCCGTGTCGGTCGAGCTGCTCATTCTCGAAGGAGACTCCCTCGCTTTCCTCTTCCTCTCGTTTGCTCCGCACGGCCTTTCCCTCGGTCCTTCTCTCCGCCTGTCGGCCAACCAGGTGAGTTTTTAGGCGCCTCAATCAACGGTCTTCCCCTTGTCCCCACGCGACCAACCAGGTGTTTCCGATCGTCGCGTTTTCAGGCGCCGCAAAACTCGCCTTCCTCTTCCCCTCCTTCGCCCCGCGCGGCCTCCCCATCGGCCCCTCCCTCAACCTCTTCCCCAACCAGGTGTTTCTGATCGTCGCCGCGCTCATCGTGCTCCCCACGGTGTGGGAACGAAGGATGGCTCTGCTGGCGTAGGTGTCCGTGGGAGGGCTGCTTGCGGTGCTGGTCACGGTGGTCGGAGTGGCTTGTTTTGAGTCGACTCAACCAGGTGTCTTAAACCCCCTCCCCTCCTCCTCTCGCCCATCCAGGTGTTTCTGATAATCGCAGCGCTCATCGTGCTCCCCACGGTGTGGCTGAGGAAAATGTCTCTTCTGGCGTATGTGTCGGTAGGGGGGTTGCTTGCTGCGCTGGTCACGGTGGTGGGCGTGGCGTGGGTGGCAGCAGTGGGAACAGACGATGCAGGCTCTGCTGCTGCCGCTGCCTCGTCAGCAGCTGCAGCAGCGCATGGGGGATCGGCGTTGCTGCGTCTGCAGGGAATACCAGTGGCGATGGGGATATTCGGGTTCTGCTTCTCGGGGCATGCTGTCTTCCCCACCATCTACCGCTCCATGGACAAGCCCCAGCACTACAACCGGGTGAGTGGGCGAGTGCGTATCGAGACTGGTGCGGCACTTGTGCGTATTTCAGGTTCTGTAACCCCCTGTTTTGGGTTCTGCTTCTCAGGGCATGCTGTCTCCCCCACCATCTACCGCTCCATGGACAAGCCCCAGCACTTCAACTGGGTAAGGGGTTGATGCCGCACTTCGTACGCGGTACAAGTGTTGTAACCCCTTGTGTTGATGTCTGCTTCTCGGGACATGCTGTCTTCCCCACCATCTACTGCTCCATGGACAAGCCACAGCACTACAACCGGGTGAGTGGGCGAGTGAGTGGGCGAGTGAGTGGGCGAGTGAGTGGGCGAGTGAGTGGGCGAGTGAGTGAGGCAGCGAGTAAAGAGTAGTGCATTGAGTCGGGACATGCTGTCTTTTCCACCGTCTACCACTCCCTGGACAAGCTCCAGCACCTCAACCGGGTGAGTGGGTGAGTCAGAGAGTGGTGCATCACTTGTGCGTAGTATGGTTGCGGTAACCCCTCGTCTCATGACTTGCTTCTTGGGGCATGCTGTGTTTCGCACCATCTACCACTCCCTGGACAAGCTCCAGCACCTCAACTGGGTGAGTGGGTAGAGGGTGTGAGTCTGCTCTGGCACTTGCACGTTCAACTCCTTTCCTGTAACGCGAGCCCAATTGCTTTATTTTTTAGGCGCCTCAAAAGCCCAGCCGCTCTATGGTACCCTTGGTTCCTCCTCCTCCCCTCCCCTCGCCTCCCCCCTCCAGGTTCTCCTCATCTGCTTCACCATCTGCACGTGCATATACGGCGGCATTGCCATTCACTCTAATCCATAGTCTCCCCTCTTAATACTACCCTTTCTTCCCCCCCAACCCCCCCCACTTCCTCTCCACCCCTCCCCCTTCTCCCCTCCGCCCACCAGGTACTCCTCATCTGCTTCACCGTCTGCACATGCATATACGGCGGCATCGCCATTCTCGGCTATTCCATGTACGGACAAGCCACTGCCGCCCAGATTACCCTCAACCTCCCGCCCTCTCTCACGCCCTCCCGCATAGTCCTATGGACCACCATCATCTCACCCCTCACCAAATTCGCCATCACCATCACCCCCGTCGCTCTCGCCCTCGAGTCCTCCCTCTCCTCCCTCCTCTCCAACCTCTCCCCTCCCAACCTCGCCTCCTGTACGCCTTACTGCGTGCCCCGCTTCAAGAACAGAGGCTGCAGCTGCAACTGCAAGTACACGCCGCTCCCTCTCTCCCGGCTCTCGAATCTCCCAGGCTTTAACAGAATGAGGATCAGCGGAAAGACAGCTGTGTCCCTAACTGTGAGGACTCTACTGGTGGTGCTGGTGGCAGCGGCGGGATTACTGCTTCCTTTCTTCGCCCTGGTTATGACTCTCACGGGCTCTCTTCTCAGCATCTCCATCTCTTTGCTCCTCCCCACGGCCTGCCACCTCAGCATTAAGTGGCGCCAGCTGTCGCGTGCGTCGGTTGCGTGCCACGTGGCGATTCTCCTGGGAGGGACAGCGGCGGCTGTGACGGGGACGGTTTATGCTGTCAGGGGGATAGCTGCTGGTGGTGGTGGGTCGCATTAGCTGCTGATTTCGGTCTTGTGCTAATGCGACCCACCAGCTGCTAAGCTGATTAGCAGTCAGGGGGGGTTGCACTTGAGATGATTCAGGGGGATTGCTGCTGCTGCTGGTGACTCGCATTGTAGGGGAAGCTGCAGCTGTGTTTTACTTCCAATTACCAGCTGCAGCTGTGGCGGGAATGGTTTATCCCGTCAGGTTGATTGCTCCTGTTGGCGGTGGATTGCGCATTGAAGGGGAAACTACAGCAGCTAATTTCAGAAAACCAGTTGAGGCTGTGATGGGGAGCCGACCCACAAGATTCAGCTGCTGGTGGTGGACTTGCTGGTGGTCGTGGCGTTGGGGGTGAGGTCAAGGCCAGTTTTGAGAATTCTCATGAGTGGTGAGCTGAAGGGCAGTCTGTGCTGTGCTGACTGCCCTTGGTCGGCGTATTTTTGTGTGTTGTGAGCAAAACAAGCAGATGCTGATGAAGAATATCAGCTGTTGATGTTGCTGTGAAGGGGAATTGCGGCCCTTCTGGCAGATGGCAGAAAGTGCAGCCGTGAATGCGTCTTGGGGAAAACATCACCTCTGGTTGGGTTTCGCTGGTGGAAGCATTGTTAGTTTTGGATGTTGCTTGCAGTCAACCTTAGCTTGTTGACCAGATTTTGGTGTCCATTATTGTACGCACATTTAGTCTGTACAGCAACCATGAAAGCTTTCTTAAACACCTGTCAGTGCCATCTGTTCAATGAAGGTTGAAAAAACACCAACTGTCAATCAACATAACACATATCCTCAGCTCTCTGATGGTTGTTAGAAGGTGAAGTGCAGTCAAAAGCAGCGCAATTAGTTATACACAAAAAGGCATTACACTATCGCCAGTTGACGGTCAGTGGCATGTGCTCCGAGGTGAACAGACAGTCACTGAGCGTCAACTGGGGATAAATTACTCCTAACAGAAGAACCTGTTCCTAGCCCTAAGATAACCATTAAACGCAATGCACTGTAGTCGCACTCGATCTGAAGTCTACTTGGGCACGGTCGTGCCAGCGGGGATGAGAATCTTATCCACTCCATGAGCGATGAAGTAAGGCCCAGCGTACAGCCGCGCGATTTGGATGGTCGTCCACGCGGCAGCAGGCGCGTTCGGCCCCTTGGCGAATGACATGGAGTTACCATTCTGTGGCGAAACCTTGTAGATCGCTTGCTTCAGTTGAGTCGCCAGCGGCTGCGACTTTTTAAGGGAGTTCAGCTGAGGAACGGTTTGCTTCCGCGGGAGGATGTGGTATGCGGTGATGTTGTAGATGATGGGGATGTTGCTGCTTGTAACGGGGAGCTTCTTAGCGAGGGCTTGGGCTTCTGTGTCGCTGGGGAGGAGGATTGTGGCGTCCGCGAGGGCTGAGAAGTCGTATTTGGAGTTGAGCACGAGGCCGATGTAACGGTTCATATCCTTGGCGTATTTCGCGTATTGCGGGTAACGCTTCGTGATGTTCGTCGCCATGTTGTTCAGCTCCGCCTTGAGCTGCGCCTTGGTGGGCTTCGGCGGCGGCGTTGCTTGAGCCCTCGCGCCAGCCATGCAGAGGGCGACGCAGATGACCCCGAGCACGGCGAGCACGCGAAAATTATTTTCCTGAGAATAAAATGGATCTATGCGAAGTGGAGTAAGGAGTGCGATGGAAATCAGGTGCAAGTCTGGTGATGTGAAGTGCAAATTTTCTTCTGAGAAATTGAGGTTGAGAGAGACTGGTGAAAATCAATTTCTGAAGCGGAATTTGTAGAGGCAGGGTTGGGTGGAATGGTACAGGGTTACTTGGTGCGGTGATTCGCGATGCCACAGTTGCGGTGTTGCAAGTTCTCGGCCCTCAGCAATGGCGAGCGCGGTGCGACGAAACGCGCTCGCGATTTCGGCGCCACCATGACAGGATGATTTCAGCGGCGGGAGACCACCGCGAGGCCTAGGGTAACAGCGCGAGAGGTGCGATACAAGCCAACAAAACAGTGATGGGTTGATGGTGGTGGCGAGGTGACGAAGGTCTCAGTATGACGGGAAGGTGAGACCTTCGTCGCCTCGCTAATGGTAAGGTCGCGGTCCTGGGGTGTCCTGGGACATGCTGACCTGGAAAGTCACCGTGTTGTGGTAGGCAACGCGTGCCCCTCGTCGCTGAGACAGACCTCGCCTACTGTACACCTGTACTCGTGTACCAATGAAATTCGCGCGCGATCCAACGGCTGCGACCACCTGGGTGTGAAGGGAACACCAGGTCGCACCCCAGAAAATGCAACATCCGCCCCGACAAAACTCGCGAGTTGGGGAATTCTGGAAAAATAAAACCTCAACATTCACGGAAACTCTCGCGTTTTCCATTGCGCGAAATAATTTTGCCAATACCCAGGCTTCTCACGATTCCCTAAAATCGACCCCCTCGGCTGCACGTTGCCCCGACTACACTTCGGACGTCGGGTCGTGCAAAAGTGTCGCAGGAGTGTACATTGGCAGCCCTGCGACGTCCGTGTGGGCGGCATGTTGCCAGCACGTGGTACCAACGTGCGGGGTGTCCCGAGTTCGGGTGTCCTGGACACCCCAGGACCGCGATCTAAGTCTCACGATGCCGGCAAGGTCTCACCCTCTGGGCTTGATTTCGCACTGGCAATGATCGGCGGTGTCGCGAGTGAATGTCGGTCAGCGAAAGCAGATGGGTGTCTGCGATAGAGCATCTGATCGTATTTCAGAAAATATGTTACACAGTTTAGCGGTTGACGTAGAATGCTTCGCCTGTAATTGTTTTTGTACAGAACTCTTGACGCATAACTTTGGATAAGCCTAAAAACGGGATGAAGTGTGCCTCTTGTTTTGCCACAAAATGCAGTGGGTATCTTGCAGGCGTTTCTTCTCAGTCTCGCCCCAGTCGAGGTCGGTACACCGTAATGGCGATCTGGCTGTCGTTTGCGTGAGCGCAATTATCATTTGCTCGTTGTTTGCCGCTGTACCTGCCTCGGCTTGCCATCCATTCTGACCAACATGGTACCAGATGGATTTTTTAAAAACTGTGTATGATAACATCTAGCAACTGGTGGTGGATGTTGAGTGCACAGCTTGAAGTCTTGAATCTAAGACGGACTGCAGCAGACAAAAAAATCCAATTCAGTATGTATAAGCATTACATCCCTGTAACCATCCGTGCGGAACCTAACTTAATTATACTGTACAGAGCACGAGCCTTCAGTTGCAGAAAGCGAGCACACCAGTTACCGTGAGAGCAGACGCACACCACGGGTGCAGATCAGCAGGCAGCACAGCACAGAGAAGAGGAGCCACTCCACTTGCACCACTTGCACGACTTGCACCACTTGCACCACTTGCACCACTTGCACCACTTGCACGACTTAAGTGCCACAGAGCCAAATCTCTTGGTGAGCAACGATCGCTCACAGCAAAAGACAGGCTGTTCTGTCGACTCAGTAACCCCACTGCACTGTGGGAGAGGCAGGCAGTAACCAGAAACCTACATCTGCTACTGCTGCTGCTGCTTCAACACAGGGGCAAGTGGTAGCCAGAGACCTCGCTCACAGCATGAGACGGCTGTTCAGTCGGCTCAAAAACCTCACTGCAATGCGGGAAGCGCAGGTGGTAACCAGAGCTCAACCCATGTCTCGCCGTAACCACAGGGGGCATTAATGAGGTGCGGGGATTGCACGCGCATCACTGCCCCCACCGCGTCTGCCACACCCCATTGCTGCTGCACCTGCTGTGTCTGCTACTGCTGCATAGACACAGGGACAGGCGGTAACCAGATCTCTGCTGCTGCTGCTGCTGCTGCTGCTGCTGCTGCTGCTGCTGCTGCTGCTGCTGCTGCTGCTCATACAGCTGCTACTGCTGCATAGACACAGGGGCAGGTGGTAACCAGAGCTCCACCCTTGTCCCGCCGTACCCACTTGGAGCGTTGATGAGATGCGGCGACAGCACGCGCATCACTGCCCCCACTGCCTCTGCCACACCCCTTGCCACCTCCATTGATGCCAACGCATCAGCCGCCCGCGCCAGCTTGCCAGGTGGCAGGTTTTGAGTGGAGGCGGCCATGCTGGCAGACTGGAAAGGGGATGTTGGGGGAGAAGGGAGGTTAGGGGGAAAGGGCGAGAAGAAACCAGTGGGGTAGGTAATTTGAGAAGCCTGGAATGAGGCAGGTCTAATTCTGTGTAATTGCCAGTGCACGTCCACCCATTTGCGCCCACAGTCCCAAACCCTCTAAATCCAAATCCCCAAGCCCCAAAACCCCATTCCCAAACACCAAACCCTGCACAGGTAATGCACGCCCACGCCATTGTCTTCCACCAGCAGCAGCACTCCTGCCCCCTAGCCCTCTGCCAGTGCACGCACCCATCCACCCCCTAGCCCCAGGTTGCCTTCAAGTAGCAAACCTCAAACCCCAAACCTCAAACCCTCACAACCCTGAACACTAAACCCGGCCTCAGAACCCATTCACTCACCAAATAATGCACGCCCACACCACTGTCTTCCACCAGCAGCAGCACCCCTCCCCCCGGCGCCCTCTGCCAGTGCACGTGCACCCACCCACCACCCTCTGTGGCGTGCAGTGCCGCATCCAGCACCCCCTGCAGCAGCCGCCTTATGTCCCTCTCATGCCCCAACACCTCCCATGACTCCTCCTCTTCCTCCTCCTCTCCCCCCTCCCCTCCCTCCTCTCTCTCCTCATGCGCATGCCCTTGCTGCTCCCTCTCCTCCCCCTCGCCACTGCTTCTTTCAGCTGCTTCTGCTGCAACCACCAAACGCCCCCTTTCTCCTCCTTCAGAGTTATCCCCTTCAACCCCTCTGCCCACCACATATCTCTCCAGCATCGCTTCATAAACCACATCACCACAATCCGCTCCACTCCCATAATCCCCTCGCCCTAGCCCTGACCTTTGAGTCGACTCAGAGGTATCCTCTTGTTCCCCCCTACCCACCACATATCTCTCCAGCATCGCCTCATAAGCCGCATAATCATCATCATCCATTCCACTCTCATACTCCTCTCTCCCTTCACTCCCACCGCTCCATCTCAACCGTCCATCCCCATCAACAGCCCCAGTCACACCACCCTGGCCGTCAGCATTTTCTCTCAACTCCTCACCTAAGCTTGTTGCTCTCCTACCCCCTGATTCAGCCTCCTCTTTCTCCTCGCCCTCGCCCCAGTTCTCTCTCCCACTAAGCACCCGCCCCACAGCAGCACCCTCAGGCTCGGCAGCAGCAGGCTCGGCAGCAGCAGGCACGGCAGCAACAGGCCTGGCAGCAGCAGGTTCCGTGCCTGCCCTGGGAATGGAGGAGCCATAGCTGACAGTAAATCGAATCTCACAGACAGCAGCAAGCGATGTAGCCGCGTCTAGCAGAGGCAGCAGCACCCGGTGCACGCTGCAGGTTGGGTGATCGCTGGAAAACGACAAGCGAAATGACAAGAAAATAAGGAAAATTACAAGAAGAATGACGAGAGACAGTGACCCGGATGTCACAGGCAGTGGTGAGCGATGTAGCTGCGTCTAGCAAAGGCAGCAGCACTCGGAGCACACTGCAGGTTGGGTGGGGACTGGGATGGCGGAAAAACGACAAGAGGAATGACAAGAAAAAATGACAAGAGGAATGATAAGGAAATGACAAGAGGAATGGCAACAAAAATGACAGGACACATGGGCGACAGTGAAACGGAAGTCACAGCCAGTGGCAAGGGATGCAGCGGCGTCTACCAGAGGCAGCAGCACCGGATGAACACTGCAGGTTGGGTGGGGACTGGGATGGCAGAGAAGAGATGGGGACACCTCTTCTCAAGACAACTTCCACGGTCCGCCCAACCCGGATGATTCCAAAAGGACTTTCTCAGGTGCCTCAAGAGAGGGAGTTTCTAGAGGCGCATCAAAGCTCGTCCCCAACCTGAGGCACCTCAAGAGAAGCAGCAGCGCTCCACTCATGGGCAGACGGTGCAAGACCCATCACACACGTGGGTTATCTCTAGCAGTCGCACAGACAGCTGACCCAGAGGTGATCTTCTAGTCGACTAAAATATCAGCTCCACTCGTGTGTGCACGGTGCAAGACACATCACCCACATGGATCATCACTAACAGTTGCACGGACAGCTGACCCACCCGCCCACTTGATGGCAAAGCGTGTTTTGAGTCGACTCAAAACACATCGCACACATGGATCATCTCTAGCAGTCGCAAGGGCAGCTGACCCACCCACCCACCTGACGGCAAAGCTGGCCGGCTTGACTTGACTCACCTGCTGAAGGGCTGCGGACGAGCCTCTTGAGGCGGCGCCAAGGGAACAGACAGCTTTGCTTTGAGAGGTCTCAAAAGTTTTGAGAATTCTCAAACGATTTGAGAGGTCCAAAAAATTTTTAGGGGTCTCAATAGATTAACCCACCTGCTGAAAGTCTGCAGACGAGCCTCTTGAGGCGGCGCCAAGGGAACAGACAGCGCCCCCAAGGCTTGTGGATTGGCAGCAGGAGTGGCAGCAGGGGGGACAGCAGGGGGGGCGGGCAGAAGGAGGGGCGGCATGGGGAGCTCAGTGTCAGCCAAAGGGGGGAGGAGGAGTTGTGTGCGGTGAGGATAGGGAGGTGGCAGGATAGATTGGTGTGGGATGGTAGTGGCGGTGGTAGCAGTGCTGGTGGTGGTGCTGGGAAAGGATTGTGCAACTCCTCGCCCCACAGACCCCTCTGTTGCTGCTGCTGCTGCAGTGACTGCTGCACCCGGGGGGTGAGGCAGGGGGTAGAGCGCCTGCTGCAGCTGCGACAGCACATCGCCTATCTCGTCGCCCTGAGACACCATGCCTTGCACCAGGTCGGGACCCAACTGGAGGAGGGAAGGAGTGTGGGGAGGGGAAGACATGCAGGCAGGCAGGAAATAAGAGCATTTAGCCAGCCATATTCACAGGAGCATGTTGCATATCTTGTCCCCTTGGGACACCATCCCCTGCACGAGGTCAGGCCCCCGCTGGAGAGGCATGGGTAGGGAGATAGGTGGGTGCGTGGGGGGGAATAAGCAGGGACAAAGGGCATTCGACAAACCATGTTAGCTCCACATGACCACATCGCCTATCTCGTTCCCCTAAAGACACCATGCCCTTCATGAGGTCAGGTCCCCACTGGAGGGGGAAGGAGCGCTGATAGGGAGGAGATAGGAAGGGACAATGGGCATTCATGCAAGACAACTTTGTTGACAACATCACATCTCCTATCTCGTCTTGATGAGACACCATGACAAGATATGTACGTCACGGCATCATGCGTGTCAGTTCGAGTTAATATCGAAAAGAAATCGAACAGGACAACCTCGGCTCACGAGGAATTTGCTTTTTGCCACAGGGGTACCCACCTCTCACTTCTGTCGTTGCCACTTGCCTCATGGGCACACCCACGAGCGCCCATCAGCACCCCTCATCACCCATTAGCACAATCAGCAACCACCCGCACCTCTGTCTTCGCCACTTTTGGCATGGGCACCCATAAGCACCACACCTCACCTCTGTCTTAGCCACTTGCGGCATGAGCATTCGCCCCAGCGTGCGCAGAGCGGAGAGGGGGGCGCGCATCTGATGTGTGAGGGGGAAGTCGTGGAAACATGGGAGAGGACCGGGGACGGGGGGAAGGAGGGAGTGGGAGGGGAGGAGGAGAGGATGGGAGGGAGGTGGGGAGGAATGGGGGGAAGGAGAGGGGGAGGCATGACTCCATGGGCTCCAAAGCACATGAGGGGGCCAAATGAGCCGATTGATTCATAATCAACCACCATCAGCTCAATCGGCTGAACCCCCATGACTTGGTGCGACTTGGTGCCGCAGGGAGGAGTATCACAGAGAGCATGAACCACCATTGCTCAAGCTGGCTCACCTAAGCAGGCCTATCCTCCCATCTGAACCATGGGGTTCGTTTCGACAGGGAGGAGTAGCACAACGAGCATGTACCGTACCACCACCATTGATAGGATTCGGCTGACCTGGTCTAGAAGCGAGTCGATGGTAACTGTGCGCTGCCACAGCGACTGCTGCATCATCCACGCCCTCTGAAGACGTGGCAGGTGGGTGGCAGGAGGGGAGAGAGGTGGATGGCAGGGTGCAGGAGACAGAGACAACAGGAGATGGGTGAAACGAGCAGGGGGGGTTGAGGTTCAAGTCACTTGACAACAAGAGAGGTGAGAAGTGACAGGTAATACATGAGTCAAAATCCGAGTCAACAAAAAAATATATGGCTTGAACTCAGGGAAGAGAGATGGCAACGGAACCAAGAATATTCTGGTAAACCTCTCTTAGATACACCGTGCCGTGGAAGCTTGAGAGAGTGTGCTGGCCGTGGCGTGGAAGAGGAACCCTTCCTCCTTGTCCATATCGCCACCCACCCCACACTGTTCCTTCCAGCAATTGAGTCGCCTCAGAAACCATTACCTGTTCCATGACGTATGCGAAGGCAAGGGAGCGAGCCACACCCACTGCTGCGCGCTGCTCCTCCTCCTCATACGGCTTCAACTGCACCCACTCCACCTCTCTTCCCCCCACTTGCTCTCCGTTCGCCTGCCCTCCGTTTGTCTGCCCTCCCTTTCCCTCCCCACCCACCTCCCCACTCCTCTGCTCCCTCGTTCCCTCTCCTTGCCCCTGCCGTTTTCCACCCTCGCTCCCAGCCCTCCCTTTGCCTTCCACACTCCCCACTTCCTCCTCCCGCACTCCCTCTCTCCCTCTCTCACCCTCTCCCCTCCTCTCTGGTCGTCTCAGCACCCACTGCTGCAGTCTACCCACTGCTCCCACTACTCGTTCCGACCTTCCTCCTCTCCCTCCTCCCCCTCCTGCAACTCCTTCTTCCCCTCCATCTGACCTTCGTGCTCCTCCTAAGCCCTCCCCTCGGTCCCCTTCTGGCCTTTCTCTCCATGTGCCACGGCCACTAGCCTCCTGGCGTTGCTCCTCCTCCTCAGTCACTGGTTTTGCACGTGGGAAGGAAGCAACGGTACATTGTACAATAGCAATGCGGTTCTGGCTTGCCACTGAATGACTTGAAAGACGACTTAAAACGAGGTGATTTCTGAGTTGACTTAAACGTCGCCTCTGGAGGTGTAAGGAAGCGACAATACATTGTACAATGGCAATGCAGCTCTGGCTTGCCACTGGCCCTAAACACATAGCATCGCCAGCCAGTCCTAAGCCACTGACTCAACGAAACAAACGTATATCAATGCCAAAAAAAAAAAAAAAAAAAAAAAAAATATGCAGAGTTGAGGGTGTGAGTGGCAGTACCTGCTGCAGCAGCTGAGGGTGTCACTGGTAGAAGTAGGCGGTGCAGCACGAGCAGACCAAGCAGGAAAGAGTCTCTTGTCAGAGCCACCACCAGCGCACCTTCGCTCTCCAGTGAGATCACCTGCACCGCAAACATTTGGATTTTGCACCGGAAATCAATAAAAAGTGCTCGTCGAATCGCCAAAAAACTCCGTGCAATGTATGGTTCCTTGGTTGATGCTGACTGATGACATCACTTATGGATGCAGGGTTCCTTCGTTACCTACAGCTTGATCCGTGAAACCACCGAAAATATGGTTAGAAAGAGATGTTTGATTTGAGCAAAGAGGGCAATAGAGAAGCAAAAATTCAGTGGAATGCCATCGATGGGCACAAGAAGAGTCAACACAATGTGCCGTATGGTGTGCAGTGCTCACCTCTTTCTGTACAAGCACGGCTTCTAATGAAGGTGGCAGTTTTGCAATAGGGGGCTCATTCCCCACCTCCTCCTCTTCTTCCTCCTCCTCCTCCCCCTCACTCACCCCATTCACCTCCCCGTTTTCCACTCCCGCATTCTTTCTCTCTCCTCCCATCTCCATCGGCCCCCCCTGTGTGCTTTGGTAGCATGCCCTGTCTCGGGCCCCGGGCAGCCTTCTCACCACTCGGAGCAATTCAATCTGCCCAGAAAGGAAGCTCTCTGGCGTGCGCAGGTAAAGCTGCAGGAGGGGGCAGGACAGAAGAGGGAAACATCTCAGAACCCTAAAAAAGTGACTCAGTGCTTTGTGACGTTACCTTTTCTGCTACACTTTCTCCTGCTCTTTTGGTTAGCTTTCAATGAAAATCGTCTTTTCCTCATCCCCCACCCAAAATTACTGTTATTCTCGTAAGCAACCCACTGTGCTGTTATTCTCGTAAGCAACCACACGTGGCACAGCACAGAATAATCTCTTCTTTGAAGCCCCCACCCACACGTATCGTTATCCTAGTGAGCTGAGAGACGCAGCAGCGCAGCGCAGTCCCCAGCACGTCCAGCTGTGCGTGGCAACAGGAGCAAACGCTACACGACACAGCAACCCACGCACTCACTGTAATTCTCGTGGGCTGGGAGCCGCAGCAGCGCAGAGCCACCCCCATCACGTCCAGCTGCGCGTGGCACAGCGCGAGAAAATCCGCACTCGGTGCTCCCAAGGGCCGCCCCTCTGTGGCCTGTGCCTGCCCCTGGTCGCCCGCAAACCACCCTTGACTCCCTTGACTCCCTTGACTGGCTTGACTCCCTTCACTCCCTTGGCTTGGTTGACTTGTCTGTTCGCCTTGATACCAGCCTTGACTGGCCTGGCTCCTTTGACTTTCTTGACCACCTTGGTACCATCCGTCGCTACGTTGACTTGTTTGACTTCCTTGACTGCCTTGGGATGCTGACCCTTGGAACGAAGACCCTTGACCCCATGCATCCGTCCCCCACTCCCCACTGCTATTGCTCCTGCTCCCACTGCTACTGCTCCTGCTACTTCTCCCACCAGTGTTGTCTCTCTCACCATCTGACTCACTGGAGTAACCATACCCGCTAGTAGCATCTCCCCTAGCCTCTGCATCACCGCTGCTCTTTCCGCCAACCCTCGCTTCTCGCCCCTCTCCGCCTTTCCCCTCCCCCTCCGCCTGGTTCTCCGCCTCCCCTTCCCCTTCCCCCTTCACCTGCCCTCCGCGTATAGACGCGGAAGCGACCCCCAGTGCCGTCGCAATCATCCACGCGGCTTGTGCGATATCCACTTCAATGTCGCCCAATCCCCCGCCGCCAAGAATCGCACGCGACGAGTTTCTCCCCACGCTCGCTCTCCCCCTGTTTACTTCCGCCTCCGCCTCCGCTTTGGCGGAGCGTCCTATGGGAAGGGCGGATTCGCGGCGTCGTCCCCTTCTCCCCGCGCCCATTTCCCCAAATTGCGCGTCCCTTCCGCCGAGGAGAAGCGCTCGCGCGACGAGGGGGCGCCAATCGCGCCCGCGCATTTCGCCGTTCCGCCATACCAGGGGGCAATCCGCGCCGTCCCGCGGCGGCCACCCTTGCAAGCAAGTCGGCCCCCTTCCCCGGTGACCGGGCCCAGCGCGCAACACATTGCCGCTAACTGCATTGGTAACGGCACTGACAACGTCACCTCTGCTGCTAAAGCTCCCGCCCGCAGTAGCAGCACTAGGCGGAGCAACCAGACCGCCATGACTCAATCTGGATGATGACGCGGCACGGCCGAGAGGAGGCCGCGGGAATGCGGAGCGCGATTCCATTTGGGCCTCTGCGAGGATTGGCGACAACACTTGGACGTACTTTACAAGTTGACTCAATATTCGCCAATGTGCAGTGTGCTACACCCAACTGGCCGATTCTTGACCCTATTATACACAAACGGTGTAATCACAGACTATCGCAGGAAATGCGAGGCTGAAGTGGCACAGTCAAGCAGTGGTCGCGAACAGGCGATGCAGGCTGCATAGCGGACGAAAGACCGTCAGCCATACAGTAACCCTGGTACGGAGCAATGCAGGAATCTATCTATAGCGCGGATACCACAACTGCTGGTGGTTGTCAGAGCCGGGGACGTGATGTTCCAGCGTCCGTGGTTGAGGAGCAGTCAACTGCTAAGGAGTACATATTTAGAGATTTCTCTCTTTACGTTAGCTTCTATTCCCGCAAATGGCGCTGTGCACAGGACGGATTCTGCCGAGGTGTACGGTACGATGAACTCAATCCACGTCTTGGCGAGAGGCCATGGTCGGCTACCAGCTGATACAAAAACAAGAAACTTAGCATGCATTGCAAGCAAGCTCGTGGTAAAATTTCGCGGCGAGGGAGCTTCTTGGTGAAGGGAGGAATTCTGAGGTTTAGGTAAGGCGGAATCGGGGTGGGAATTATTGGGGGAGAATCCTCGAGATCCATTCGTTGGGTGAAATGACGTGGCGGAAGCTGCCAACGTCAGACGATGGGGGGCGCTGACACGTGACACATTTTTGTACCGACTTTAATCAGCTTCGCTACGCGAGGTTCTCAACACGTCAACATGATTTTTTTTAATGATAAGTATACACCGAGGTGACCAAGCGTACACTATCATAACGGTCGTAACTGCGCTTGAGGAACAGAGGGTGAGCTACTGTTCCAGATGAGACACCTAAGGCCGTGTGATGCTTGCCCTCCGCCTGGACCACAGCGAGGCGAACGCACTTGTCCACTTCCAGCTCTTGCCAACCATTTTGATCTTCCCCAGCATGTTCTGCTCCTCAACGAAATTCTTCCGATGTTGCTTATGTCGAACCGTGTCAAACTTGCAGGTGTAGATACGTGCATGCTGCCTGAATGCAAACTCGATCTTGTGGAGGACCCGATTTGTGCGAAACTTCAGACCTCGGAAAACCGCTTCGCACCTTTCAACCCACAGCTGATGAAATGAGATGGATGTGAGAGTTAGCTCCGGGAAAGCTGAGCTGGACCCCGTTTTCCGGAACAGAAGGTCCCCGAGTGTGACTGTGGGACGGTTGGGATTTAGCATGCGTAAAGGACGCCTGAGGGCGGAGGGGATCGTATGAATCCGAGGGCAGAGAAGAAGACAGTGGTCCAGAGTCTCCCTCTTCCCCGCAGTATGGGCAGGTTGGTTTTCCGCCGAGGAATACAAGACACTCCCCCACTTGCAAATTGAGGCCGTGGATCCGGATGAGGACGTGACGTGGACGGCTGGGAACTGCCAGCGAGTCCCAAGTCGACACCACCCGCTTCCAGTTGATGTGTCTCCCCCACTTTCTTGCCCACTTTTCTCTTTTGCGCGACTCCTGGTATGCCCCTTTCCAGCACTCCTTCATCCTCCTAAGGGAAATCACCTCCCCTCCCTCCAGAATGTTCAGCGGGGGAGTGGAGCCAGCCGAGCAGGGGGGGGGGCGTGGGAAAACCCAGTAGCTGCCACCATGCCGCTGGCATAGTTGTCAGTGCCTTCACTGCCAGTCTCGCCGGGCCGCTTCTGCCTAGCTGCCGTGATAGCTCCTTCTGCTGCTTCAGCACTAACTCGCCGCTGCCATTTTCCTCCAGCAGCTCCCCGACACGCACATCCCAGAGACTCTTAGTGTCCTTCTGCCCTTCGACGGGCGTTTGAAGCAAAGACGCTTTACTGAAAACCAACCGCTCCTTCAGTACCGCTTCTGTGCCGTCCGCCGCTGGTCGGAGACAGAACGGGGAGTTGATAAAATTTTCACACGTCTGTTTCCACCTCACACTCCTTCCCTTCCAGTGTTTCAGAAGGTTCGCGTGTGAGGAGAAGGTGTCGTCGCCCCAAGGCAGATTTGCCGCCTGCATCATAATCTCCTTCTTCATGGGGTTTCGTTTTTTGAGATGGAGGCCCACACTCCTGGCGGCGAGACAAGTGATCACGATCTCCGGATCCTTCACACCGATACCGCCCGCCTCCCTTGGAGTGTAAAGCAGCGTTCTGCTCCAGAGTATGAAGCCCTTCACCGTCGCTACACGGTTGCCCGACGCGAAGCTTTGCAACAGCCTGGTAATCTCTTCCCATATCTCCACTGGAGGAGGGTAAATCTGGGCTTGAAAGGCCAGCCCGTAGCCCTTGCAGTTATCGTGAGGTATTTCAGCTGCCACTTTGTTAATACGTCAACATGATGAACGACTTGTATGGAAAAGTTGATCAACTATTTGTGACAAAAGGACAGCTTACAGTACATGATGTAAAGCAATGGGTCACAAGCTATTACCACACTTAATGGGTAAACAATGAGAAATCGGTTTGTTCACAAAGTGCCCAATGGGTGCACCCTAGGAGTCTGCTTTCCATAACTACAGGCTAAATAGAATGTGTAGGTAGGTTGCATTGCACCGAACTCCTTTGGCATGACATCTTACCAACTGTAAGGAAAAATAATTTTCCTTACTTTGCACCCCTGCTTACCGCGTACACGACTGTTCCCGCCAACAGCACCCTATAGTGAAACGTTACCCGCTCGCGACACTCGCCTCGACCACTGCTTCCGCCACTGTTCACGACGCGACCCAACCCCACGATTCGGTTGGTAACCCGCGCCCCAGACCTCCGCCTCGACATTTCCCAACCTCGGTGCTAGGCCCATAGCGCACTCCATTTTCTCGCGTTACCGTTACCACGCTAGCTTCGCTATATATTGTTCGCTCATGCCTTCACTCATTGTACTGTTTTGCTTCGATAGTGCAATTCTCGCTCGCTCGCTCGCTCAATTACACTCGTAACACTTGGTATTCAGAGCCTACGATCTCTTCTCAGACCGCACCCAAAGCTTCGCTTCCCCACTATCTCAATTTTTGGAGGGGGTAGACGTCTCTCAACGACCAAGCACCACCGCTCGAGTGCTCTCACGTAAGCACGCACGGCCACGACTAAGGCTCTCGCTGAGCTCGCCCGACACCCCCGCCATGGCCGACCTCAACCGCGTGACGTTAACGTAGGAGCAGCTCGACCGGCTCGTATGCCAACTCGAAGATTCGGCGCTCGAAATCGCGACACTCACGGCGGAACGCGCCCGCCAGCAATCAACGGCGAATGCACCAGCACCAACACCTGCAAATGCGCCTGCGCAATCG